GACCCAGACTGCCCGTCATCTCCCGCAGACGTACTTCCTGCCTGTGATTGGGTTGGTGGACGCTGAAAAGCTGAAGCCAGGAGACCTAGTGGTGAGTGGTGCCTGAGCCTAGGCAGGACTTTTCTCTTGCACTTCTGACATGTGCCAGCCGAGGCCCTGTCCCAGGCCCCCTCTTGCCTCTAAATCTTGGCACTGCAGCCCTGAGAGTCTGCTTGGTTGTTCTTGTTAGTTTTTGATTTTTGAGACAAGGTCTCACTAGGTGGGCCGGACTGGCTTTGAACTTGATCCTTCTGCTTCAGCTTGCAGGGCTGGGGTTACAGGCCTGTACCACTGCTGGTGGCAGCCTGCTTGCCCTTGATTGTTGTGTTGTTGGTCCCAGTCCCGTGTTTTGCTTTTTTTTGGTACCAGGGATCAAACTCGGGACCTTGTGCTTTGAGGCAGGCGCCGGAACCACTGAGCTAAATCCGGCCCCCATGTTTTGCTTTCACTCTGTGTACACTTGTAGCAGCTCATGAGTTAGCCCCTGAGCTGTGGCAAAGCTGACGGCTCCATACTGTGTCCAGGGTGTGAACAAAGATTCCTACCTGATCCTGGAGACCCTGCCCACAGAGTATGACTCGAGGGTGAAGGCCATGGAGGTGGATGAGAGGCCTACAGAGCAGTACAGTGACATTGGTGGCCTGGACAAGCAGATTCAGGAGGTGAGTTTCCCAGTTCTCCACCTCGCTGACCAGAGAGTGTCCACTTCCTGTGCCTCTCAGCCCAGAAGCCCAGGGTGGAAGTAGGGGTGAGGGTAGGAGGTTCAGGTCCCAGGTGACAAATAACTGACTTGCCTGGGGCCGGCACCAGGTCTGACACTCGGTCTCCTTTGCTCACCCAGTGTTTTCTACCCCAGCTTCTGGTCCTGGAGAGGCTGTGGCCAGCCTTGGTGGGTGTGGGGTCAGCTTGTGTCCCCAAATTGGAGCAGGAGGGGCACCAAGGTGTGGGCACCCTCAGGGCTTCACTCTCCTCACCCAGTCTTCTCCCTGGCAGCTAGTGGAGGCCATCGTCTTGCCGATGAACCACAAGGAGAAGTTTGAGAACTTGGGGATCCAGCCTCCGAAGGGGGTGCTCATGTACGGGCCACCGGGGACCGGGAAGACACTGCTGGCCCGGGCCTGTGCGGCACAGACCAAGGTGCGTGTCCTGTGGGGATGGGAGGGGTGGGCAGGGCCAGTGCTCTCCGCTGGGCTCCCAGGGGCCTCTCCTCCGGCCTGATGGCAGTGTTCGTCCCCTGCAGGCCACCTTCCTGAAGCTGGCCGGGCCCCAGCTGGTGCAGATGTTCATCGGGGACGGGGCCAAGCTGGTCCGGGACGCCTTTGCCCTGGCCAAGGAGAAAGCGCCGTCCATCATCTTCATCGATGAGCTGGATGCCATCGGCACCAAGCGGTAGGGTGGTGCTGGGGACACTGGCTGGGGTGACTCCTAGCTGTGCCACTGCAGCTCCTCCGCACCATGCCCCTCCTCCCTGGCCAGGTGCCCTGCTCTGCTTCTGGGTCCCAGACTCTTAAACAGCCTCCTGCTTCTGACCTCCCGTTCTCCCCACAGCTGCCCGCTGTTCTCTTCTCGACATGGAACGGGGCCACCTCCCCACGGGGACCCTCAGACCCTCACAGACACAGCCCACCCAGGCCTCCATCCTCACCCTGTCCCCTCTGCCTCCCTCTGCCCTCCTCCCCAGCCTCGGGCCACTTCTCCCCACACCTGCCCGACCCCCTCGGGTCCCTGTGTGGTTTGGAGCGGTGCCTTCAGCAGGGAGGCTGGCTGGGCCAGGGCTGCTTCTGTGCTGTTTGTCCTCTGCCCAGTGCCTGCTCTCGTGAGCCTCCGCGCTCCTAGTGCTGCCCCCAGCGATTCGTCCACCTTTTGAGTGCCAGTCGCTGTGCCCGAGCCCAGGTTGAGCAGGCTGGTCCCTGCCTGGCTCCAGGCCATGGCCTCAGTGTCTCGGCCTCCTGTGCCTCACAGCTTTGACAGTGAGAAGGCCGGGGACCGGGAGGTGCAGAGGACCATGCTGGAGCTTCTGAACCAGCTCGATGGCTTCCAGCCCAACACCCAAGTCAAGGTGAGTGCCCTGTCACTGCCTGGGCCGTCTTGGGTCCCCCGGCAAGCAAGTGCTGGGGCTGGAATTGGAGCCTACGTCTGCCCATGATGTATCCCACCAGCTTAGCCTCTCTGGGCTGCTGCTTGTTTCTCCTGGCAGTGCCATTGTGGGTGGATCCCTTACTCGTGGCTTTAAATCACTGTTTCTCTTTTCTCAGGTGATCGCAGCCACCAACAGGGTGGACATCCTGGACCCTGCCCTGCTCCGATCAGGCCGCCTGGACCGAAAGATCGAGTTCCCAATGCCCAACGAGGAGGCTCGGGCCCGGATTATGCAGATCCACTCTCGGAAAATGAACGTCAGGTGAGTGGAGGCCTCAGCAGGCGGACTGGCGCCTTCTCCACCCGAGCTCCACACAGCCCCGAGCCCTCCCTGCTGTGCACAGTACTGGTCCTTTTGCAACTCCGCTCCCTGTAGATCCCTTGGGAACCCAGGCCATTTGGGGCGCTCCGCTCCGGGGATCCACCTTCACCTCGCCCTCCCTCCACAGCCTGCAGGGAGCGGCTTTCAGCAGGTGGCAGACCTCTCCCAGCCCATTTTCTTGCTTGTGACCTTAGGGTTGTGGGAAGGATCAGGTGGCAGTGTGAGCACAGTCCTGGGCACAGGAGGACAGCAGGGAGCAGCAGCATGGTGCCAACTCCCCACTCTGCAGGGCTGCGTGAGGCCATCCTGCCTCTCCAGCCCTCTTCCTGGGCCTAGGAGGCCTAGAACCACCCGGGCCTGTAATGCCTCGGCCTCACCTCAAACCAGATGCAGGTCAGGCAGCCCGAGCAAGGTGCATGCCTGCCTCGGGCAGGTGACAGTTGCTCTGTGTCCTCTCCCCAGCCCGGATGTGAACTACGAGGAGCTGGCCCGCTGCACCGACGACTTCAATGGGGCCCAGTGCAAGGCCGTGTGTGTGGAGGCGGTGAGTGGCTGGGCGGGGTGGTGGCTCTGGCCGCGTCTCCTCCTGGACAGGGTGTGTGGCTGGGGGAGGGGAGCTGGGGTTGGGATGCAGGCAGCCCCCAGAGCTGTCTGTCCGCCACAGGGCATGATCGCACTGCGCAGGGGAGCCACGGAGCTGACCCACGAGGACTACATGGAGGGCATCCTGGAGGTGCAGGCCAAGAAGAAAGCCAACCTGCAGTACTACGCCTAGGCCAGCCGGGTGCTGGCTGCCTCAAAATAAACATGTCCTGTCCGCCCCGCCTCCTTCCTGGGCTCCAGGGAAGAGTGGGGACAGCATGGCAGGCCCCTTCCGCCCCCAGAAGCTTGGGCCCCAAACCAGTTGTCCAGGTGAGGCCGTCCAGGCCTTGTAGGCGCTGCAGTTGCTGCCTGATCCGAGCACCCTCAGCCCTCTCCGCACCCACTGCTCCTCGGAGCTCTCCAGGCTCCCTGCTTTCCCAGTTCCAGAGGGAAGGAAGAGAGGATGGCATCCCCAAGCCCGCGTGGTACTGGGGATGGAACTGTCAGGGACCACTGAGCTACATCCCCAACCTTTTATTCTGATGTTTTTTCGGTACCAGGGATTGAACTCGGGTCCTTGGCACTTGCGCAGCAGGCGGCAAAACCACTGAGCTAAATCCCCGGGCCTCCAGCCTTTTATTTTGAGACAGGGTCTTACTAAGCTGCCCAGGCTGGCCTCAACTTTGCAATCCTCCTGCCTCAGCCTGCCCAGTAGGTGGCATTACAGTGTGCCACTGTGCCTGATGTTTTACCTTTGTGCATTAGGGAGCTCTCTCCCTTGTGCTTGCTGACTTGTAAAGCCGGGTTTTAGGTCTTTGTCCTTGAAATGTCCCTCTTGTTTGCCAGCTTGGGGACTTCCTGTTAGGCCCCCATTCGCTCTTTCAGCTGCTTTTGGCTGAAAACCAGCCTTGGGCAAGATCCACTCTGACAGCCCTTCCAGCCAGTCTGAGGCCTTTCTGCCCACCCACCCTGTGCCTGGGCATGGAGCCGGTCAGTGGGGGGCTGAGCACTGCAGGCTGGACGTGGAGTCTCGTGTGGTCAGCAGAATAAGTCCCGCTCTATCCCAGGGGTACGGATGCGACTCGGCAGCTGGGCTGGGATGACAGCTGTGGCCTTAGCAAAGCCAGTGTCTGAACCCAAGGGCTTCGGTGGCTCCTGAACGTCCCTTCAGAACTTCAGCTGTGGCCAACAAGAGCCAGAGCTCTCCCCACGTTTCCTCGCCTCTACCACCCTTAGTGGACGCAGCCTGTAGTTGCAGAACTCCCTGAGGCCAGTGCCTCCCCAGCTCTGCTGGGGTCCTGGCTCACTGGCTGGCCCCACCGACCTAGCTTTGCCAGGATACCCAGTGACACCTACACTTTACTTCTTGGATTCTTCATTTATAAAATGGGCCCCTCCCTCAGTGGCTGGTAGCCCCAGGCCCGGGCCGATGAGGTTTGGGCTCCCATTCCAACCCCAACCCCCGGGAATTGAACTCAGGACCTTGCGTTTGCCAGGCAGGTGCAGGGCCAGAGCTAACTTCCTCGGCCCCTGATGACATTCTTGAGAGTTACTTTGCTGGATGGGCCACAATTAGGCAGTGGACCTCGCAATGCCCTGCCCCTAGAGCACGAGCCGGTCTGGTGCTCCCGCCTGCAGTCCTGACTGGGTGGCTTTGCTGACCGCACTGTGGGAAAGCAGCGCCCCCTGCTGTCTAATGTTCTTAGTCTCGACACTGATCCCGCTGAGACCAAACCTGGAGATGCCTGGATAGGATATCCGAGTGTGGTGTGGGCAGGCAGCCCCCTGGCTTGTGAGGGTCGTGGAGTAGAGAAAACCCTTCTCCGTGGGAGGGTCTGGGATGCTTAGCGACAGGCTTCTTACCCATGGTCGGCCACGATAGAGCTGCCACAGATGCAGACAGGGATCTGGCGGCGGCTCTGGTCTGAATATTTATTCTGTGCCGTCTACAGACAGGTATTTACAGATGCAGCTGAGACCACCCGAGTGCCTCACGACCTTGCAGACTCGCTCAGCCACTCCCTAAGCAGGGCCAGCCGGCTGTGGGCGGCCGCGTCCGGAGCACATTCCTGAGCGCTGACAGCGGCAGCCCAGGCAACCCAGCCTGTCTCGGCCGAGCCCACAGGAGGCGCCTGGCCCGGGCCGGTCACGGCCGCTCTGCAGGCTGCTGCATGGCAGCTGGCGGTAGCGAGAGCCTCGGCGCTCGCTGTCAGGGCACTGGTAGGGGACATGAGCGTGGGCCTGCCCTTTCTTTGGCTGGCCAGGAAGATGGACCCGAGGGAGGGCGCCCGAGCCGGGGCGGAACCAGAGGGGCCCACTCCCCCGAAGGCTGCTCGTCCTCCGGTCCCTGCAGCCCTGGGTTCCTCGAGCCACCCACGCCTGGGGTCCCGGGCTCTGGGGACCAGCGCTGATCCCCTGGAGGCGCAAGATGACCGGGTGTCGGGGAGGCGGGCCGAGGCCATCAGGTCACAGTGTCGGTCTCGCACACGCTTCCTGGCCAGAGCACGCGCACGCATACGTGTACGCACACACACACACACACACACACACGCACGGTCACGGGCGAATCCGAGCGTCTTATTGCTGTGTGGGTGGGGCGTCGGTCACTTGGTCACTCGATGTAGAGCGAGAGCAGCACCATCACCACGACGCCGGCACAGAGCAGAAGCACCTGCTGTAGGGACAGCCTGCGGGGAGAGGGCGGCTCAGGGCGCCGGCCCGACCCAGTCCCGGGCGCATCCCCGAAGGGCACTCACCACGGGTCGTCCTCCTCCAAGAGGTCTGGCAGCACATTCACCAGGGCGATGTAGAGGAAGCCGCCGGACGTGAAGGGCAGGACCCAGGCCACCGTCTCCTCTGCGCAGGGGGAGACCCCGACTGGCTGCGAGCCTTGGGCACGAGTGTCCCGTGCCCGCCCCGGGGGAGTCAGGCCGGCTGCGCCCTCTGACGGCCACCACCCGCGCCCGTACCTACGCCCTTGGGTGACTGCGTACAGATGGCGAAGCAGGAGCCCAGCAGGCCCCCCAGGGCTGTGGACAGCTGCAGCTTGGCAGCGCTCCAGCGGTCGAAGCCGGCCCGGAGCAGGATGGCGAAGTCGCCCACCTGGACGGAGGCCTCCTGTTAGTTCACCCCAGGCCCTGGTGGGCCCGGTCCCTCCACCCCGAGGCCAGCTTCGGCACTCACCTCGTGGGGGATCTCGTGCAGCACGATGGCCACGGTGGTCAGGAGCCCCATCTGCAGGGACGGGAGCCTGAGTCCGGGGCTGCGCTGGCCGGCGCCCCACATGCCCACGCCCTACAAGCGTTTGGGCTGCTCAGAGCTGCCTCCCGCTGGCCTCTGCTGGCTACTGGGGGACAGCAGGGACCAAAACGGACGAAGAGCAGCCTCAAGGAGCCAGCAGCCTGGAGGGGATCGGGACTGGGGGAGGGGGCAGAGGGCTCTGAGGAAGAACATTTACACGGGGCAGTGTGGAAGGAGGACGCAGCAAGTAGATAGCACGGTGGGGCCACTGGGCCACAGGACGGAGGGCGGGGCCGGTGTAGACACATCTAGGAGCAGCACTGTGGAGCCTGGCAGCTTGAGAGAGGCTTCCCAACCAGGAGAGGGTACAGCAAGGACAGAGCAGTGTGGCTTGTGACAAAAGGTGCAGGTGACACGAATGTAATCCTAGCACTCTGGGAGGCTGAGGCAGGAGAATCCCAGATCCAAGTCCCGCCTAGGCAATTTAGTAACTTAGCAAGACCGTGTCTCAAAATTAAAAATACAAAGGGCTGGTTCAATGTCCAGGACTGACCGGGGTGGGGGAAAGGAGGCGGCGGCTATGGCAGTGTCCAGGAGAGCAACTGGGAGGGCTGGGAAGGGTTTGGAGCAAAGCCAACTGATCACGGTAGATGCCATGGTGCCCACAGAACGCCTGTGGCTGCCTGCCCAGCCCACTTACCTTCTTGCTCACGAGGAAGCTGGCAGCCACAGCCAGCCCATGGGTGAAGTTGTCTATGGTGTTGGCCAGCAGATTAAGATAGCCGCTGACCTGGGGAGGGGAGAAAGCGGGCTAAGCTGGGCCGAGCCGACCACTTGGCTTGGTGGCTGCAGGAGGGGACCCTGAGTGGCCACTCACTTTGAGGTTCCGGACCTCAGTGTTCAGGCTGGGCTGTGCCACCACCCGGACCGCACAGTGGCCGCCATTGAGCGCAGCAGCAGTGGGGTCTTTGCTGGAGGCCTAAGGCCGGGAGAAGACAGGGAAGTGACATTAGATGAGCCTACCCAGCTAGGGCAGACTGGGGAGGGCAACATGACAAGAGAATTGGTGTCTCTGACTGGGCTGGGCCTCTGCTGACCACAGAACCAGTGCCCCCAACTGAGCATGCTCTCAGCCCCTGCTGCTGTCACTGTCCCTGTCCTTGTCCTCTGTCAGAACAGCTGCCGCCCCCACTGCTCCTGGGCAAGAGGCCAGGAAAAAAAAGAGGTCCTCTTTTTACAGGGCTTTTTTTTTTTTTGGTACTGGACAGCGAACTCAGGACCTTGCACTTGTGGAGACCCCTTTTTTTAGGGCTTAACTCAGAACCTGGGCCTCCAAGCCCCATATGTTCAGGAGCCAGGGTCTGGACTCACCTGCCTGGACTCCTCCCTCTCCTTGCTGTCCAGGAACACCTTCTCCAACGCCAGGAAGGTCAGGAAGCCAGCAATGACCCACAGCCCCAGCTGCTGTTGCTGCTGCAGGCTCTGCCCCTCAGCTCCTGCAAGGGAGCACTATGCGCCATGCCAAGCCAGTGCCTGGACGAGGGCCTGGCCCTGGGCAGTGACAGGGGCCAGGGCCAGGGCTGGTGGCTCAGGATGGCCACACAGGCCAGGCACTGGGTGCAGCACAGTGATTCCTCCCGGGCAAGTGTCCTGCCAGATCCCTCTTCCCGCTGCAGGGCTAAGGCCAGGGCAGGCCAGGACCTCACTCACCAGGGCTGGCGCTGCATGTGTAGGCCCAGGCCTCCGGCAGCAGGTGCAGGAACACGTTGCCCAGCAGGCCCCCCAAGGCGAAGCTGAGCAGCTGCTTCAGGCGCAGGGTCCCGGCTGCATGGGAGGGTGGGGGTCGGGGACTGAGCGGCTGGGACCCCTGGCATCGCCTCTGTCCCACCCGGCTCACCGAGCTTTCTGCTGGTTCCAGCAGCTCACCAGTCTCCCAAGGCTGGACACGGCTGCAGCTCTCCTGGGCCCCACCTGCTGGCTAGCAATGGCTGGGTGCCTAGCAGGAACCCCTTGAAGCCCACCAGGGCCCCTACCGCAGCCTGCTTAGGAGACAGGGCTTCCAGCCCCACAGGTCCCAGCTCCCAAACCCACCAACTAGTGAGCTGCAGGCAACTTCTGAGATTCAGTTTCCCTGTCTGTAAATTGGATCTTGTGGGAATTAAATGACAATATTGAGCACTTATTAAATGGAAACTTCTTCTGAGCCACTGTCACAGAAAAGTGGCAGGGATGTGGGGACATTTGCAGGCTCACAGCACACAGATTTGGGAGTGCTCTATGAGCGCCATGTTCAGCCCAATCGGACGGAACAACTGAGGCTAAGGCCACTGGGTGGGGGTGAGGAGAGATCCCTGGGGAAGCTGCTACCTCCATGCTGTGACTTGCTAAGCCTGTGCCTCCCTTGTGACATGGAGCCATTAGTCCCCACCCTGACCCAGCAGCTGCCTTAGGGTGCTGGCTCCTAACAGAGCCCTGGGCCTGGCCCATCTCTGCACCCCACCCTCAAGTGGGAGGACTGGCACCCGAAGCGAAGCATCTCCCTGGGGTCTGGCTCACACAGGTACATCAGGCTATTTGCATGCACACGTCTGAGAAGCAAACGCCCTGCCCATGCTGGGCTCAAACCCCCGGGTCCCCTCCCCAAGCCAGCCCTGCCACCAGGGGAGGCTGAGAACCCAAGGGAGTGGCCCTGTGCTTGGCACAGGCTGCAGACGGGCTTTATGTGCACTGCTCACTTTCTCTCCACGTGAATGCCCGTGAGACAGATGTTTATGATGCCCATTTTGGAGGGCACTGGAGCTGAACCCAGGGCCTTGCATGTACTAGGTCAGACCTTTACCGCTGCCACTGAGCCACATCCCCCCTCCTATTATCCCCATTTTTAAGACTGGGAGGCTGAAGCTGAGTGAAGGTAAGGATCTTACTCTGTGCTTCTGAGCTGTTGAGTGGCAGGGCCAGGACTGGTGGCCAGCTAGTCTGGTAGTCCCTGTTCATAAGGGGTCTGGTGAAGCCGTGCGTGGCACTCCATACCTGTGATCCTGGCACTTGGGAGGCTGAGGTGGAGAACTGCTGAGAGTTCAAGGCTGGCTAGCCTGGGCTACCTAAGTGAGACTCTACCTCAACAACAACAAAAAACAAGGCTGGGGATGTAGCTCAGTGTGAAGGCCCTGGGTTCAATCCTTAATACCAAGAAGAAAAAGAGTCTGGTGAGTGTTTGCCGACAGACACAATGAACAGCTGCTCGAATGAATGAAAACATAAATGTGCATCCGGTGGCCACGGGACCAAGGTGACCCATCCCCATCTCAGACACGCTGTGACCTGGAACACGAGACCGGGGCTCCCACCCTGCTGGCTGCCCCTTGCTGCCACTGCAGTCACCCACCTTCTGAGCGCAGCATGGTCCCCATCTCCAAGGGAATGACAAGCAGTGGGAAGACCCCTGTGAGGCCCACGATGAGCGAGCCAAGGAGGGAGCAGATCCAGGTGTCCAGCCTGTCACTGCTCAGCAGGGACCCCCAGGACTCGCTGTCCAGGCGACAGGCTGCTGCGGCCCCCCGGTTCTGGAGGGCTGGCTGGGAGCCCCCGGCCCTCCCCAGCAGCTGCAGGGCAAGGGTGATGAGGAAAAGGAGCCTTTGGCCGGCCATGCCACAGCCAGGGCAGGGACATCCAGGCATGCCACGTGCTGAAAAACACAGAGGCCCCTGAGGTGGGTGGCCAGCCTTGCCTACACACCTGCTCAGGACATGTGGCATTCCCACCCACGACCCAGGCAGCCAGGGCACCCAACTGCCTGGTGGGCACAAGCACCACGCATTTTTTCCTTCTGAGCCGGCTCCAGACTGTGTCGGCGGCAAAGCTTGTCCGCCTGAGGCTAAACTTTCCCTAATGACTGGGTGAGGCGCTGGCGGGCTCCCTCCAGCCACTGGCAGGCCCAGCCCAGACGGCTGCTCGGGCTGCCAGGAGAGGTTTGGTGCCAGGCTGTGCCCCAGTGAGGGTCCCCAGAGACTGAGAGCAGGGCAGTCTAAGATGATGGGGTGGCACTGGGGGACACAGGAGGGGACACAGCAGCGGAGCTAGATGGGACCATCAAAGCTGTGTCCTGGGAAATGAGCCAGTGTTCCTGGGGCATGGAGGTAGGCTGGGACTGAAGGATCCCTTAGTCTGGAGAAGCCTCACAGATGTGGATGGAGCACAGGCTTCCGAGACTGGTTAACTTGGTGCTCTGTGCTTGGAGCTGTTTGTGGGCAATTCCTGGGGTCCCTAAGCCTTGGAGACCTTGTCCTATGGGATGGGACTGGGTACCACCTCCGTCACAGATGGGCAGATGAGAAGAGCAGGATGAGGCAGGTGGACGGCACGGAGGAGGCACAGGGTCCCCAGCCCAGGAGCAATGTGCCCTGCCAGCGGATCCCAGGACTCGCGCGAGTCAGCCAAGGGGAAGTTCAGTCTGGAAACTCAAGCGTGAGGTTTAAATAATGTTCGGCCCTGCCCTATGCTGGCTGTGACCTTGAGCTGCCTCAGTTTCCTCCTGGGCTGAGGGAGAAGGCAGGGAGAGCACAGAGTTGCCTCTGGGAGCTGGGAAAGATACCCTCGACTGGGCTCTCCAGGCCTTAGCTCAGGAGAGCCCCATGGGACCAGGGGCTGCCACGGGGACCAAGGCTGCTGGCTGGGCAGGGCCAAGTCCCGAGCGGGCCATCAGAGGTGAGGGGATCGCAAGTTTGGGAGAAGGACAGACTGCAGGGGGAAGCTCATCAGAGAAGAGAGGGAAAGGAGACAGCAAGAGGGTGGAGGGTCGAGAAAGAGCCAGACCGGGGCGGGGGGGCGGGAAGGGAGACAGCAGATCCCGGGGACCGAAGGCGCCCGGGCAGCGAGTCCAACCCCGGGCTCTGGGAGGCGCTGGCCAGGGTCTCGAGGCCGGGTGTCACTCACCGTGCGGCGGCAGCGGCGGCGGCGCTCCGGGCGGGCCCGGCCATCCAGCTGCGGAGCCGCGCCCCGCCCCACCCGCCTCTGTCCCGCCCGCCCGGCCGCCCCCGGCCCGGCCCGGCCCGGAGCCGCCCCGGAGCCCGGCCACGTCACTTGGGGCCGCCCGGAACCCAGCGTGCCGCGCCTCGCTGGGGCACCCGGAGCAGCGCCCGAGTGCACTTCCGCCTCGGGACTATGGGGGACCCGAGCGGACAGCGTACTTCCGCTCGGGCTAGCTCGCGGGAGGGGGCGGGGGAGGGAGAGCCGGGCGGAAGTGGGAGCTCCACGGGTGTCGGGCTCAGCCCGGGCGAGGGTGGAGGCCCGCTGGGACCGCGATCGACGGCGCGGCTGTGCTTGCGGGTCTGGCCGCGGCTTCTCCCCCGGCGCGCAGTTTCGCTGGCGGCCGCACGGGGGCGCGCTGGGCCGCCGCCAGCGGGGAGGGCAGGACGCTGGGCGCTCCCCCGGATCGCCCGGGCCGCCGCTCCACGCGCAGGGAAAGGGGAAGTGCCTGCCGCAGGGAGGGGCCTGGCCAGGAGCCGCAGAAGAGGGAATTTTATTCTTACTCATCGAATTATTTTTATGCTTTGGTTTTTCACTGGGAACCTCAGGCCACTGTCTCCAGGACTTGTAACCCTTTGGGGTCCAACCCCGGGTGGCTCGGCCCTGCTCCTCAGAACACCAAACCTCTTCTCGCAGACCAGCGGGGCGCTTTGTGTGTTACCACGGCAACCGAGGCTTCCTGAACACCTACTACGTGCCGTCTACTTGGCCGTGCAGTGTCTCTCCCAGTCCTCGTGTTCTCCTTAGCCTAGGCGCACACGATGGCACGGACGGCAGAGCTCGAATTAACACCCAGGACCTGTGACATCGCCTGGCTCTGTGGGGCGGCAGCCTGGGGGCGCTCAGGAAAGGCACCGGCTGCTCGGCGGGGCGGGGCTGTGCCCGGCTGGGGCTGTGCTTACCGCGGAGGGCACTAGGGCGCCCCTGCGCCGGCGCCAGTCCTACCTCAGGCCCAGCTCCCTCCGCCCACGGTACGCGCAGCTCCGCAGGTGTCCGAGTGGAAGCCCAGGCGAGGGGCCTAGAGCAGGGGGAGACTCGGTGATGCTGCGCGGGACCGCTGGGATGCTCCCCACGAGCAGATAGTGCCCTCGTATGCAAAGCGCTTCACAGTACGCAAATGATTTCATAATAATACCGTCAGCATTCCGGTCGCTGGGCAAGGAATGGGCCAGGACGGGCCGAAATGCCACTGCCCACTCACTCACTGCCCTTTCCTCCCACTCGGCCTGGGATTTCTACCCTCAGACTATCGGATTAAAGAAACTAATGTCCGGCGGGCGTGGCAGTGCACACCTGGGATCTCAGCGTTTGCACTCTGGAGGCTGAGACAGGAGGATCGCTGAGAGTTAGCTTGGGCTATATAGGGAAAACCTGTTTCAAAAAAAACAAAAGAAAAGCGGGCCGGGGATTTAGCTCAGTGGATCCGCCGCTTACCTCGCAAGCTCAAGGACCCGAGTTCGATCCCTGGTACCAAAAAAAGAAAAAAAAAAAAAAAAAGCAACTCGGAGATGGGGATGGAACCATGAACCAGGGAGAGCTGACCAGGTACAGAGCAGGGGACCCATGTGTGGCTGTCTAAAACACAGGCTTGAGACGGGGATTTAGCTCAGTGGTTCTGCTGCGCAAGCGCAAGGACCCGAGTTCGATCTCCCGTACCAAAAAACAAAGGAACTAACTAACTAAATAAATAAAATACAGGCTTGGATATGAAAACACTAGTAGAGTAGCACAGCAGGCACTCTCAGAAGGCAGAGGGAGAGGGACGTAGAAGGAGCCACCAAAATGAAGGCAGAGAGGAGGAAGAAGCGTGAGCGGTGGGCAGCACAGTAAGTGACCGCAGTTTGCAGCGATTCCGTATCTATTTTATTACGTTGCCCAGGTTGGTCTCCACTCCTGGCCCCAGCCCATCCTGTCTCAGCCTGGAGTAGCTGGGACTACAGGCCCATGCCATGTCACTCAACTTTTTATATATTTTAAAGAACTAGAAGAGAGGAGTTTGTAGGCTCCCAACGCAAATGATAAATTTTATTTTTTTTCCGGTACTGGGGATTGAACTCAGGATCTTGCTTGGCGGGGGTGGTGCCACTGGGCTACGTCCCTGGCCCGGAAATGATAAATCCTGAAGGAGATGAGGGCTGGGGGATGTAGCTCAGTGATGCTGCACCTGTCTGGCAAGAATAAGATCCTGCGTTCCGTCCCTGGTACTGAAAAAAAAAATATTGAAGATGAAGATGTAATCACCCTGGCTTAATAATGCAGTTATATAATTTTTTTTTTTTTTTTGAGACAGGGTCTTGCTATGTAGCCCAGGCCGGTCTCGAACTCACCACGATGCTCCCGCCTCAGCCTCCTGAGTGCTGGGATCATAGGTGTGTGCAACCACGCCTGGCAGGTCATGTAAATTTGTACATCAATATACACAAAATTACCAAAATATATATATATATACACAAAATCTTTCTATAGCTATAATATCTGTCTGTCTCTGCCTCTGTGTCTGTCTGTGCTTCTGTCTCTGGTCTGGCTTTGTGCCCCACTTCCTGGGGGAAATTAGTTAACCCCTGTGCCTCGGTTCCCTCTTCCACAAAGCAGGTCACTGTGTCGGACTGTTGTGAGGATTGGATGAATGAACACATAGCGCTTAGAACTACTCCTGACAGTAGGGAGTTTCACACGTCGGGGGTAGATGTTAATATTCTCTCTGTGCACAGGCACTTGGGTGTAAAAACCACGTTAATGCAATGAAAAGAACAGCTCCATCGAAGGCACGGGCTGGGACCGCCCCTGTCTGAGCAGGGTTTATTTTCTTTCTTTCCTTTTTGGTTTATTTTTGGTGGCCTTGGGGATTGAACTGAGGGCCTTCTCACTGAGCTACATCTCCAGCCCTTTTTCATTTTTTATTTTGAGACAGGGTCTTTGCTGAGTCACCACGTTGCCCAGGCTTGAACTTGGGGTCGTCCTGCCTCAGCCTCCCAGAGTGCTGAGGAGACAGGCGTGCACCGTCAGACCCTGACGAAATCCATCTTGCTTACTGGGCCTCCTCCTCCCTGGAGCCTTCTCCATCAGTCCGGCCTCAGAGCTCAGTGTCCACTGTCTTTGGGACTCTTGGCCCTGTCCCTGGCACCCGCAAGCCTCCTGCTCTTCCAGTGCAGGATTCTGGAAAGAACAAACTTTGGTCACACTCTGAATAAAAGTCTACGATGGATTTAAAGTCTCCCTTTCCTTTGTCCTAACGGATGAAATCCTCATGCTTCTATCACCTCAGCCCATATAGGGCTCTCTTTTCTCCCCCTCTCTCTCTTTCAGTTTTTTTTAGAGACAGGGTCTCCCCGCATAGCCCAGGCTGGCCTCGAACTCAGGGTGATCCTCCTGCCTCAGCCTCCAGAGTGCTGGGATCACAGGCCCGTGCCACCATGCCTGGCTTCTTTTATTTAATTTCTGTGTTTATTTCTGTATTTCCTCGTGGGTCACCCCTCCCTCATCCCATCTCCTTGACTCCTGCTTGAGGAAACCTGAGTGTGATAATGATGGGTTTTGTGTGTGTGTGTGTGTGTGTGTGTGTGTGTGTGTGTGTAACCAGGGCCTCACACATGATGCTAGGCACATGCTCTGCCAGGGAACCAACCCTTTTTTTTTTTGGTACCGGGGATCAAACTTGGGTCCTTGCACGTGCGAAGCAGGCGGGGAAACCACTGAGCTAAATCCCCAGCCTTTTATTTTATTTTGTTTTGTTTTATTTTATTTTGAAACAGAGCCTTACTGAGTTGTGCAGGCTGGCCTTGAACTTTCATTCCTCCTGCCTCCCAGGTTAGCTGAGGCTACAGGTGTGTTGTCACGCTCAGCTCTTTTTTTTAAAATAGTCTCCTCACATCTCTGAGCGTGCCTAGACAATCTTTAGTCTGAGTTGCCTTTTCTACATCCCCAGCCCTCTCTAAGCTGCCCAGGCTGGCCTGGAACTTTTGATCCTCTTGCCTCAGCCTCCTGAGAAGCTGAGATTATAGACCTGTGCCACCAAGCCTGGCCCTACATAATTATTAACAAGTTTAGTTCTAGATAGTTTACATTTTTGTGGATATTTTTGTTTCGTTTTGTTTTTTTGTTTTGCATTTTGAGTCAGGGTCTCACTCTGTAATTCAGGCTGGCCTTGAACTCACTATGTAGCCCAGGCTGGCCTCAAACTCTGTGATCCTCCTGCCTCAGCCTCTTGAGTGCTGGGATTACAGGCATGTGCCACCACACCCAGCAATTTTTGTGGATATTTTGAATAGTATATTTCCCGTTATATTTTGAACAATTTATAGTACAGGGGAAGGCAGATTATTTTATGTGTTCCTTTTAAGCCAACTACATTTTCTGAGTTTGCATAACTTCTTTTGTCCCTTAGGTGGAGACCCTTCCCTAATAGCAGAAGCAGGAGAGGGAAGGCACCAATGGTGTTGTTTATAAAGGTAGGATCTGGCTGGCTTTGAACTTCACCAAAGGGTATTTGCCTTTGGGAACTGCGGGGTGGGACTGAGTCACCGTGACACTGTGTGACACAGAGGGTCACCTGCTTCCTCTGCCGCCTGCTGCTTACGGTGGGAATGAATCTCTGGTTCATTCATCCCCGCTGTGTGGATCGGGGGCACGCGGCCATTTCCGGGATTGCTCGGGGCAGGAGTGGGGACGTCGTCCCGGCCCCTCCAGCGCCCCGTCACAGCCCGCGACTTGGCCTTGCAAAATCAGCCGCTAGGGGCGTCTGCAGCTGCGCTCTGTCCGGCTGCGCCTTGCGGCCCCTGTGGCCCGGGCTTCTCAACCCTGCCCTTCAGGAGGTGCAAAACAGCACCCTGGGTGCCCTTCATTTGCATCCCCCAGGCCAGCGCCCTTAGGTGGCCGTTGGACAGCGCCTTCCCTTCCTCTCTCCGACCTGCCTGGTCTCCAGCTGGAGATGGGCGAGCGCCCCGCAGGCACTGATTCTGGGGCCCTGCACGGGTCAATTTTGGGGGCGCCCCTCCCCCGCGGGCGCACAGCTCCTCTAGCTGAGGCTGCTTTTCACTTTCTCTCGGGTCTCCCCTTTCTCTGCCCTTTCTCTGGGCGGTGCGCGGGCTCTTGAGGCGCTGACCTCCGGCTGCCCCTCTGCTGGGGCGCAGGGGACCCCGCGCTTCCGCCGCACCTGGCGGCCCCGCCCCCACCCCCTCTGGTCCCGGGCCGGGGGCGGCGGAAGCTGCCGGGCCTGATAAGGCGGAGGCCGGGGATGCGGCGAGACGGGGACCCTGGCGGGGACCCAAGGGACGGCGGGGGAGGGGCCACCCCGCCTGTGGACGGCCACACGGGACAGGGGACGTCACGCTTCGGTGACCTCTGCTGGAAAGGGGCGGGAGCCCCGGCGCCCCCAGGGCTACTGGGGATAGAGGCCTCCGTGGGTGACCCCGCCCCCCCTCCTGACTTCCCTTGGGATCGGCCTCCTTAGGGTCCCCGCCCGCCCCTGCTGTTCCCCACTGGGGAGCCCCAGGAAGGGCTTGCACCCCTCTCCCCTCTCCCCCCTGCAGGAGGCTGCCCGCTGTTCCCAGCTCCCAGCGTGGCCAGGCAGTGGTTCCCAACGGGGAGCAAGGGCGGCCAGCATTTGGGGAGTGCTGTACCCCAAGACATCTGGGTACAGGCAGGGGACAGTTGCTAGGAGGAAAGGGAGGCTCCTTGCTCAGGGTAGGGCACTGTGCGTGGCATCAGATAGGACAAGGGCTCGGCCTGGCCAGGTCCCCCTCTCCTGGGTTTGTCACCCGTGACACAAGGACAGTGACTCGGGCAGAAAGTGTGTGGAAGGGCCGAGCCCCTGGCTGTGGGAGATGGGTTTCCCTGGTGATGTCTCCAGGCCCCAGGGGGCTTGTTGCACCCTGTGGGGGTCCAGTCCCCGTCCAGGGTGTAGCCCCTCAGTAGCTGCAGAGCTGGGATTTAAAACCAGCTCTAGCTGCAAGGGACGCCCCTGGCCTGGTGCCCCACTGTCCTGCTGAGCGAAGGCCGTGGGGGCTTCACCCCGGAGGCTGGGCTTGCATCCTCTGTGTTCACGCACCTGAGCCTGCAGTTTTCCTGCAGGGCCCAGGGCTGGGACTCCCAACCCTTCTGTCATGGCGGAGCCACCTCTTTCTAGCCACAGGTCGCATCTGTGGGCTGGGTTTGAACTCGCTATGAGCCCAGGCTGGCCTCAAATTTGAGGTGATCCTCCTGCCTCAGCCTCCCAAATACTGGGATTACAAGCGTGTGCTACCACACCTGGCTCTGTGAGCCTCAGTTTTCTAAGAAATGAGGAGAACCCTGCAACTGTGAGAACTGAAGATGCTGTGTTTGTGAAGTACCCGGTGGCTGGCAAGGTATGTGAGCAGAAGTGGGGGGTCCTGCCAGTGCGGAAGTGGGGCCTCCACAATCTCCGTGCCGGGGCTGAGAAGCCCAGCTGCAGCAGCATCCCAGACAGGAAGGGGCAGGGGGCAAGGGTCCGAGTGCTCCAAAAGCCGGGGAGCCCAGGTTCCCACCTGACTCGGGCAGATGAGAGGCTAGGAGGGGAGAGTGAGGGCCTCGGGGTGATGGAGGGGCACAGCATGGTCGCCCCAGGCCCCATCCACAACCTTGTTGGTCCCTCACTGCAGACATTTGGGGTGGGCCTCCCCTGTTTTCCAGTCAGGAACAGGCTCAGGCCAGGGCGCTTACCCAGGTCACAGGCTGCGCATGCTCGGGGTCTGTAGCTCCACAGCCGGACTCCAGTCACCGCCACTTCCTTTTCCTGCTTGCTAAGGTGGGAAGCGGTGCTCCCGGCCCCCTGGTGAGGAAACTGAGGCTTGCCGGGACCCTGGTGGTGCCCACTGTGTCCCTAGAGCTGCAGGGTGGCAGCTGTCTAGAAGTGGCACCAGGAGGCCCAGGGCGGGGAGGAGCAGTGGCTCACAGGACAGGAGAGAGCTGGAGTGAGGGGTGACCTCACCAGCTCAGGTGAGCTCCAAGTAGAGGGGTCTGGAGCCTCCGGCCATGCACCCCACAGCAGAGTAGCAGGCTGGGAGTGGTCCCCCAAACTAGCCAACTTAAAAAAAAAATTTTGTTGTTTTGTTGAGACAGTGTCGTATGTAGTTCTGGCTGGCCTCAAATTTGAGGCAATCCTCCTGCCTCAGCCTCCCGAGTGCTGGGATGACAGGCGTGTGTGCCATCACTCCCAGCTTTGAAATTTCTTTTATCTTAAAACCTCGTACAAGTTTTCATCCTTCTGTTTAATACGAGGGGCTCCCCTTTTTAAGAGTTTCCCCTCTCATCCTTCTTCCTGGTGGCCCCTCCGGGACACACGCCTGGTACATCTGTGCCTGTGCCACACTGAGGCTCCAGGGTTTTGGGGAAAAGCAGGGACAATGTGTCATTGTCACAGTTCAGGGCCAGCTCCTCATCTTCTCAGGGCCTCTGTCCACTGACAGCTCACCATGCAGCACCCCCAGGCTGCCTCGCCCCCATCCTGAAGCCCTTGGCATAGAGAGGGCACCGCTCCTCCAGCAGCTCACAGCCTGGGGTTCCTGGGCCTCAGAATCTCGGGCCTGGGACCAGGACACGGGAAGGAGGGCTCTCCTGACGGGCAAGACCTGGGCACTGGCCAGGGGGGCAGGAGGAAGGAGGGCAGGCTTGGGGCACCCTGGGGGCTGCTGCCTGCCAGGTCCCTGTGCCCAGGGTAGGGAAGTTTCTTATTTCTCCTGCTCCGACTTCCCCCTTTGATTTATTATAGCCATGAAATGCTCTACTCTCTTCTCTTTTCCTTGCTGTCCCCCGGGGCTGGAGGAACACAGGCGTCCCCAGGCTCCGGGCCTTGGCCTGCTGCTCCCGTCTCCTCCTGAGGCCAGGGCTCGGGGGCCAGCATGGAGAGGTGAGCGGGGAGCAGGGAGGAGGGGACGGGGCTGGCTGAGTGGCAGGTGTGGCTCTGACAGCAGCAGCTCCCTGGGGCCCTGGGGTGGCTCACCCTGGGCCAACGGCCGAAGCGAAGCTTGGGAATGGGGCCTTGTCAGGGTCTGGAGGCTAGCAGCACCCTCAAATGCCAAGGTCAGAGAGATGGCTTCTCTGTGACCCTTGACCCCACCTTTTGATGAAGGGTGGCCAACATAGGCCAGGCTCAGGCCAGTGTGGCACTGGGCCGGAACCCAGAGGACAGAAGGCCTGAGTCGTGCGGCCCAGAGTCTTTGGGGTCCTCCAGGTATCGGTGGGGAATCCCCCTCCCCAGGCCTGGCCGAGGCGCCAGGGCCAGAGTCTGTGTCCAGCCCCGCTTTGCCCCAGCCCCTGTGCGGTGCCTGTGGTAATGGGGCTGTTGGCGTTTTGCAATGGGCTGGGGGTGGGAGGCGGCGTGCACACACTTCCTGTGGTGGCCGGGCGCTTCCTGTTTTCTCAGGCGCCGGTCCTGCTGCTGCCGATGTGGAAACAGGGCAGCTGCAGCCAGGGTGGCTCCAGGCTGGGCAGCCTGACCCTGCCACCCCCAGGCCCAGACCTGGCAGGTGATGGCCTGAGTCCCCCCATGCCAAGCCCCATCCTTGCCTTGCCAACAGCTGCCACCAGAGCAAGGGCCAGGCAGGGCCACAACTCTGGCCAGCCTGGTGGTCTGTCAGCAAACCCAGGCCCAGGCTGAGGGCTGAGTCTCAGGCATGTGGCTATGGCTTCAGCTTGTCCTTTGCTTGTTGATCGCTGCTGCCCCTGGCAGCCCACTCGGGCCTCGGTTTCCTCTTTTGTGTGGTATCATGGCCACTGTGATGTAAAATTCCTCACCAATTTCTCCCCTACTTCTGACCTCCACTGAGCTCTGGATGCCAGGAGCCTATGTTCTGGGGTCGGCACTGAAGGAAACTGGAGAGGTGATGGGCAGGAAAACGAGGTACCAGGCCAGGCGCCAGAACAGAACCAGGCCTGGAGGTGGCAGGGCCAGGGCCAGATTGTACAGACAGGTGCTGATGGACAGAGGGACAGGAGGGAGTGACGAGTTGATCCAGAAGGATGCGAATGGAGGAAAGCTATGAACTGCTGTACCCCTGTGAGCCTAGCAAAGGACCTGGCCACCTGCATGGCACAGGGGTCCTGGCAGGAGGCTGGGTGGGGCAGGGCCAGGCCTCCTGTGTGCTAAGGGATGGAGCCTCGAGGGTCCCCAGGGCCGGGCTGGGATGGGCATGGCCTCTTCCCGGATCTGCGTGTTTCGGTTTTAAGTTGATGTTGCAGTCGGGGAAGTTGATGACTGTGCTTCTGGCTTGGCTTGCTGACAGCACCAGCCTCCTGCAGCACGGCTGGGCCCGCACCCTGGGACTGGCCCGTCTGTCCTTTCTCGGAGTTCAGCCTATGCCCGGGTCCCAGAGCCTCAGAGATGCCACCTCCATCCAAGACCTCTGCCCAAGACCTCCCCATCACAGCGCAGGGACAGTCCTAGCCCAAGAGGCCTGGACGGAGTGGCCACCAGGCCAGCCTGGCCCTCGCT